AGCTGACTTGTTTTGTTGGTCAGTAATCTATTACTTATGCGAAACATGCTAAATAAATCACTTGCTGGAAGTCTGTCATAGCTGTAAACCAAACTATACCAGTCGCCTAGCCAAATTTTTACATCACGTTTCTTGTTACAGTCTGTGAATTAAATGCATGAATTAAGCATTCATGACCTATCAGGCCGTCAGCCATTCACCCTCTAGGCACATGCAAACCTCATGTCAGTTGTCTGGGGCTGAGTAGCTATATGCGTCTCCAGGCTAAATTTGGTCAACAAAACAGCCTCTTGATCTGTCTGATTGTACATTTTTCAAGGACCAAAGTGCATAATCGGTACGCTCGATCAGCTGACTAAACTTGCGTTCTCCTTGTCTGCACTACGGAGATTGTATGATTCGAACAAAGCAGTAGCGTACAGCAATTTAATTGCAAAATTTTCACCACACAACTAAACCAGCCTTGATAGGCCTAATCGGCTAGCATGCTCCTTTTTGTCATCACATAGGGCTTTCGATAAAGGTGAAACAAAATAGTGTTGATAAATCCAGTTATGATGATATCATATTTAGCTTCCATGCTTCTAGGACCAAGAAGAACTGATAAGAACGGTTGGATCAAACTATCAATTTTTGGAGATAACGGGTACACAATAAACCCCTCACTATTTTAAGCACTTGCAGTAGTCCCATCCAGGACAAAATAGAGCATCACAGCACCTTTTTAGGAGACATTCATAACCGTATGTACCAAGATTGATTGCTTACAATATTTATCAACCACGGATAGATCCCACTAATTTAACCGAGTAGGTGTAGTACCAGGTCAAATAAAGAACAATCAGACTCACTTTTCATGGGCTCCAAATGTATGTATGAATTAGGAAGGGCGTGTCTTAAGGTAATATTCGGTCTGCTAGTAAATAATATTAGTGTCACAGATCCAGTTTGGGCCAGTAGCAAGGACGTACAGAAAGAGGAACATCTTCTAAGAATCAAAGAAGGTTCAATCAATGTGTCTGAGATTATATTTCTAACTAGTTATTCATCCTTTAGAATATTCTTACATACAATGTTGCACTAATCTTTTTCACTCTATGCGCTTTGCTCATCTCACCGATTCTTCATGCTGTATGTAAGGTACACTAACTATGCGCAACATGTTTTTAAATAAAGAGAAGTTTACACTTGGATCCATCCTAGCCACTGATGAAGCTCTTTCTGACTTCCACGTATTTGAATTTCCCTGATCGAGGCCTTAAAAGCAGGAAGCGTGTTTTTTTCCTCCTCCTGAGGGGACCAAAGGACAATGTTCACAAAAAATGCTGGCAAACAACTCTTCGAATAACCCTCCAAAGCAAAACCACCACATCGTGCTCATTTATATCCAACTGGCTTCGGCTACTCATAAGGTTGTGGGCTTGTGACAGTTGATTGATCACATTGCCCTTTGGGCGACTGGGAGGCAGTTTTTAATAATTATTTGATGTTTTTAGTCTTTACTGTAGTATAATCTAATGTTATTTATTTATGACCTTGTCCAGATTTGGGCATAATGACATAAGATATAGCAATATCATAAGCTATGCCGAGACCTTACTCCCCCTAGGTCGCTAAGGGAGCTTCAAGGAAGGATAATAAAGATCCTAAAATCATCTAAGCTGACTTAATTGGACTTCCTTCTTGTCCAAGAATTACAGCTAGTTTCGAGACCTACTCTATCTGGGTGTAAACTTTATCGTTGAGTGAGAAGTGAAGTAAGCGTATTTATGGGTTGCAGAAGAAGAAACCCATACCAATTGGTACACTTCATTCCGTCGGCTCTTCTGTTCCAGGAGTTCGGACGAACAGGACCCGCTCCTGCCGCATGTGGAACTCATCGAGCCCGAGCATACGAAACGCCGTCTGCGCATATTCACCAATCAACCCGGCGTCCAGGTGTATACGGGGAATTACTTCGACGCAGAAATTTGTCCATCCGTCAAGTCTACACCTAGCCTTCAGGGCCTCGATCTCACATACGGCCGGCACGCTGGAATCGCCTTCGAGGCACAACAATGCCCTGACGCTGTAAACCGGGCAGCGAATAACCCGATATTCCAGCCAATTTTCTTACGCGCAAATGGGCCAAGTTATCAACAAATCACAAGATTTGTATTTGACTTTTCTGACTGAGCTCGATCAACTACTCTACAACTACTCGATACCTCCATAATGTCTGTTTATTACATTTTATTGTGTGCTGAATAAATCTGGATAGTACTAATAATGCCATTTTCGTTTCACTGCTGAATTATCCTATCTAACTGCTTGTGGGTCTATCAACTACCAAACTTCACGAAATGTCGCTAGATTCGGTCGCAATACGATTTTATGGACGCATACTCAAATAGCCCAACATTATACTATAGTCATATACGCAAGTTTGCCAAAGCTACTTCCTCATTAGCGGCTTATTTTCTAGAATATATGCTTTTCAAATGTATACGTTTAAACGTCTTTATTCTTTCTGATGCGCTAGGAGACGACACTTCCGATGATATGATTTGGTATAAGAATATATTCACCCTATTTCGTTAAAGGTTATGAAGGAGTAGTAGTTGAAATTTCTCAAAATCATATGAGCTGATCTTATGTTTCCAATGAATTTCACATGGCTTTGCATCCCGAAAGGTACCCTCGTACAGACTGGACTGGACTGCAGTTTCGACCTCGCCTAGGTCTCATCAGCCCACCAGTGGGACTCAACTTCAGGTAATGCAGCAACGAGTGCCCTTGGGTCACAGGGCAGAAATGAATTTTAAAGGAGCCCATGCTCTTTCAGTATCGAATTTCTGTGGTGTGATTTTCGATAAACCAAAGCTTTATTTGCTATTGAAATCGATTAAATCACTTATTTTCTAGAAGTTGTTTGACATTGTTTTCGCAACTTGGTCATATTGGTAGGAAAACTTAGAGGAACGCACCTAGTCCAGAGACGGATTTGACGGGGCAAGAGGGAGACTTTGATAGGACCCAGGGAAGGACTACGTAATAATATGACAGAATCTGGTGAACATAACCAGCACAAGGGTGAAGGGGGCGATGCGACAGTGTAGAGTGGGAAGGGTTTTCATGAATGCCGCTCGAAGGAGCACACCACACTACATTAAAAATAAGCACGGTTAAAATTTTAACAGGGAAAGCATGATAGGACGATATAGGAAATGTGAATAGCCCAGGGCAGAAGGGGAGATACCACAACTATTTAGCACACGTTTGATCAAAGGATGGGCTTCACTTGTCTCTGACGAGTTGTAATATGGTGCTACGAATGGCGAGACTCTCTGACGATGCCGACTACGATGCCGGCGAAACGTCTGGGAATGTACCACGTCCACGGTCCTACTCTGG